TAATGCAATTAAAAAGGATAGTGAGAAATATAATGGTGCTTTGGTCTTAATTTTATGTTTGGAAAACATTTTACTCTTAGCAATAAATATTCATTGATTTTTTCTTGCAATAAGGCAACTTCATCAAACGATAATGCACAAGCAAAACTCAAGGAACAAATTTCTCGAAGAAGCAGTATTAATAACCAAATATCATTTTCAGTATTTTTAATTGAATCAAAGATAGCTAAAGGAAGTATCAATAATAATCTGTTAATTTGACTTGCAGTACCTGCAATTTTGACCAAATCTTTTATGAATGGAATGTTGTTGTATTTATTTTCATTTATAAATTTAATTTTTCGCAATCGAGAATTTAAAAAGTTATAATTAAACCATCCTTCTTTAATAAAATATTTAATACAATACATAAGGTCGTAAGGAATAATACCTTCTAATAGATCATGAGCTATGCAGGGTGGTAATCCCGGATTGCATACATGAAAATGATTGAGTTTATTCAAAGGTGAATCTTGCTTTATACCTTTTACGATTTTCATAGTTTGTTCCGCTTGTTTCACATATAAATTGTAATTGTCGGGATTTATATTTATATTTTTACATACATATGTTAATTGTAATTGACTTTGAGTTATGTCACAAAAACGGCAAAAATATTCTAAGGAATTAAAATTTTCTGTAAAGCCACCTATTTGATGACTTCCTAAATTGTCACCTAACATAGCTACTATAATACCAATGAAATTAATTGGTTTATTTGCAACAGAAATAACTTCCATTTTTCTCTAAATTTTTTAAATCATTTATTAAAGGTTCCATAACCTTCTTCCAACCAAAATACGTGATATATTTTTCATAACACAGAAAAACAAGCTGTATATGTTCAACTTTTGACCTCAGGTAAGAAGGTATATTTTCAAGGATCATATATAGACCGACGAGTTTAAACTTTTTTTTTGATGTACCTAGTGGATTGCATATTTCAAATGCATCTTGATATAATATAATTTTTAATATATTTTTATTTCCATGAAAGAAATTATTATTTTTTATTATATTACCACTTTGTATATCGGATAACACATTATTATTATAGGAATTATTGTAAGAATTATTATAAGAATTTAAGCAAAACTGTAGAATATTTGGATTAGTTAATAATACTTCTAAAGTTTTTAAAATTGGGATGTAATGGTAATAGCAGTGTTCGTGATTGTTATTAAATCCTAAATTTATTTGTACGAGCATTACAATGTGAAAATGTTTTTGAAAATAAATATTTCTTGAGTAAGTACTTCTAAGACAACCATTTACAGGACTATAAATGTTTGAAAGAAAATCATGGCTACTTTGAAACATATCAGCGATTCTTTTTTTAATGTCATTTTGTAAATCACTATTATTTAAAGTAGTGACAAAGTGCTGCTGAGAAAGTTCGATCATGGATGATATCCCATCTACTATAGCTTGTAAAGTATGTTCTGTCAAAAAATATTTTGTAATTAAATTTAAATATAATTGTGAAATAGCTCTTACATAATCTACTGGAATATCATTGGAAAACTGATTCAAAGCAATACAATTATCACCAGTATCAATACAATTATCATTAATATTACAATCTAATTCGTTATGAGCATCATCAACAATATTTAATTGCTTACACAAATTCATATTTGAGTGATGTCTACATATGTGTACTGCGTAATTACTGACTGTTTTAAAAAGTGTTTTATCAAAACTGTCGTATCGTGATTTTTATACAAAGAATTTCACTCAATGTATTAATTTCGTATCTATGTTTATTTGTGATTATGTTATATTTCGTACAAATAATACTGTAGGTTTCAGAGGATTCGGCCTCGTATGTATCTCGGCTTGTTATAAAGTCGCGATATTATACAGATCTAAGCTTCGTGAATTAATCTCGCTGCTTATATAGCATCTTGCGGTGGTAGAAGGGAACCAATCAAAAGAAATACATTTTAAGTAACCAATCTAAATGGTCATAATCTTATGTGACGCGGTTATCGGCTAACGCCGGACATGTTGGTTGTTTGTTGTCTTAAGTCGGCGAAGCCTTTGTCGCATGCCGACTGAAGTCGGCGAAACCTTTTTCGTGGGCCCACGCGTGTTTTTATCGCAACTGATATTTAATGTCGCAACAAAAACAAGCTGGGTATCCACAATATATACCAATTTTACTTTGCCTTACGTGACGATATAAGTGTCTATTAAAATCTCTTCTACTTGTGAAACAGACATTACAATCTTTTTCTTTACAACGATAAATTACATCTATTTGTTCATTGCAATTTGTAGTGTGCCATCTAAGAATATGTTTTTTAAAGTTAAAATATCTGTTAAATTGTTTTCCGCAACCTCTAAAAAAACAAGTTATTTGTAAATGAGACATGTTTTTATGCAAGATCTGATGCTTATTGTACAAAAGAATAGAAGGAAACGTGAAATTACACATTTGACATTTTAACATTTTTTTATTTTTAGGCTAGAACAAAAGAAACTTTAAAGTTGTGTAGAAGTAAAAGGGGGAAAAAAAGAAATTGCCGTGTTTAATCCAAAGGATAACTGTAAGAAAAATTATTATATATAATCACGAAAAAAATAATAAAATTGAATAAAAGATAATAAAATTTGATCTGAATGTCGGTTTCACACATCGATATAAGTATTCATCGATTCACATTGATTGTTTTAATATATGTATTTATAAAATAAGTAAATTTTTATATATGTATATACTTACTTTTCTTTCGAGAAACTCGTGTGGACTTTCTTTCGAGCTTTCTTAATAACCTTTATTTTTTTTTAATTTCGATTAGTGTCGGTATCAAAAATTTGCCTTATATTATGCGTAGAAATTGGTCTTATAAACTTTTCCTTTCAAATCTCTTGACCTTTTCAAAATAATAAAGTTTATACACGATTAATTACATGTGTGTTTATGTGGTGTGTGATATTGTCAATTGTTTTTATATATGTACATACTTACTACTTACTTCTCTTTCGAGAACTTTTGAATGAACTTGCTTGTGCAGGCTTGTCATACATTCACTAATATCACACATTCACTAATGCAGAACGTGGAAGGCCGTAACAAAGAGATGAGCCAGAAACTAATCACATTAGCATACAGTAACCGTAGCATGTATGTAGACAACACGTAGTTGCGTGTGGCATCCCTTCCACATGCTACTGAGTCCGTTTTGGTCCGTTTCTAGCACCACTGCATGGGAACCAATCACAACATAGGCGCGAAATACAGAGGCGCCATAGTTTTACGACGTTGATACCATCGTAAGACGCGCAAGTCATTTTTACAATATAAATTTATGTAAAATGCAGCTATAATGTGTAAAATTATTATATGCTGCGTAATATTATCACATATGCTATGTGATGTTACAAAAAATTGTACATTTACATAAAATCTATAAATTATACTTTTAATCTTGTAATTTTTCGTCAAATATAAAGAATTATTTACACAATAAAAAGTAAAAAAATAATTTTGTAAAAATACATGAATTTATACATTTCCGTTATTAATAAAGTAATTGTTACACTCATTATATGTGTAACTTTACATACTTTTTTTACAGTGTAT